ATGTGTTCATCAACTACATTGGCGATTTGGCTACAAATTGTTCTTCTTTTGGCGACTATACAGAGTAAGATCATTTGTATCATGTGCCGTACCGATAAGTGTAGAGTATCATGTTTTACAATCTAGTATGATCACTGTTATCACGAATCCGGTCAGTGTTCTTGACTTGTATATCCATTTGGCTGTGCATGGAGCGTATACAACGTAAGAATTGATTTTGCTCAATTTAAAGAAAATTTGTGATGAGGACTGGGTTGTTGCTATAAAAAAGGAACTGTTTTGCAATTGTATGGCAACAATCTGCAAGAAATTTACCTAGCATATGGCTTCTTTTGAGAAACGACTTTCGATCAAAATCAGACGAGTCTAACAGACTGGTGACTAATCTCGGCTGAACAGTCAACAAACAATCCTTTTTTTTTCAATACTACTCTTCCCGCCGTAAGACACAGTCCTTACTCTTAACCCAGTACTCTTTGTCCATCTCTGGGAGGGCGACATTTGTATGTGTTTTAACTTAATTTAAAAGTTGGGCGGTCACCTGTCCATTAAACGATTTGGGTTCAAGTCTGAGTTAGGTGGTAGTCTCAAATGTATGTGCCAATGTTGTGGATTGACTTCCTTAGACCGAGGGTGTCATGAATGGAAAGCTGGAGAAGCAAAAGCATGAGTACAAAAACTGATTAATGAAACTTAACAACCAGATGATATCATTGTAATTACATATTTGGAAAAAGAAAAGAAAAAAAGCCTAGCGTATAACGACAAAACGTCTAGAATGGATAATTTTTCCAATAGGAATAAACTCACAGGGAGCAAGTACAGCAGGGATCTACCAGTCGTCAGTAGAAATTATCCGCGTCAACGAGCGTTTCGGCCCACGATTCCTAGACGCTTTCGGAGGTGGGCCCACCTGAGTTCATGAGGCTCAGGGCTGGTTCCCTGCTGCACAAGTTTACCGGATGGTGTTTTTCTTTCGGATAGGGACAAGACGACTTGGTGGTTGCAGAAGGTACTGTGAGATAAGAAGTCGTACCGATGGTTGAAAAAACGAGCAGGCAGACAGACCGCCCAGTTTTGCACCAGTTGCTGGTGAACTGATGTATGGCAAGCTAGATGTTATGAGGGTCATTTGAAAGCTAGTGAACAGTGCGGAGGCGCATATAGAATATTAGTTTAAAGATAACTGGAGAAGCATAAGCATGAGTACGAGAACAGATTAATGAAACTACTACCAGATGATATCGTTGTAATGATGTATTTGGAGAGAAAACATAAAGCCTAGCGTCTAACGTCACAACGTCTAGAATGAGAATGGAGGTGGAAGCTTGAGAGTGGTACCGCCCGACTGGGGAACTCACTAGAGAACCTGAAATTGAAAAAAGAAAAAAAAAACTCACTAATAAACTAACTGAAAATTTACTTACCAGCTAATAAACTTACTAACTGTCACACTAGTTGACTGACAAACTAACTAACTAAGAAGTAGTTAATTCACTACTTGACTTACTCTTGGCAATTCCCATTTAACTGTTACGTTTCTATTTTGTAGTTGTCAGTACAGGAACGTATTGCGTGGATGCATTGGTCTTGTATTCCTGCACATACGGTTGCTGCTCTGGTAACTGCTGTTCCGCACCTTTGTAAGTTTATGATAGCTTTGCTGAGAAACATCCATTTTTGTTCTTTTACATCTCTTTCTCCTCTCCTTCCACCTCCTTCTTTCCTTCTACCAACTCCACCTCAGTCGTCCCCTCATGCAACTTCTACTACTACTTCTTCTTCTTCTTTTTCTTCTTCTTCTTCTTCTTCTTCTTCTTCTTCTTCTTCTTCTTCTTCTTCTTCTTCTTCTTCTTCTTCTTCTTCTTCTTCTTCTTCTTCTTCTTCTTCTTCTTCTTCTTCTCCTTCTTCTTCTTCTTCTTCTTCTTCTTCTTCTTCTTCTTCTTCTTCTTCTTCTTCTTCTGCTTCTTTCTCGACATCTTTATCTTACAACTTCTCCTTTAAAATGATGATTACTACCTCAGACTGCTGTTTACATATATATAGGCTGCTATAGATGTCTGTATTGTTGACAGCTAATGTCGACAAACACGTATTTAGCTGCTTTTAACTAGATGCTCATTACGAAACAGCTGGTCTATCATTTGCCCCATAACATGCAATTCTAGAACCCTTGCGGGTGTGTTAACTTCGATGTCGGAGAGCAACTGCTTGAGAAGCAAGGAGCTATTTATTATATATATATATATATATATATATATATATATATATATATTATATATATATATATATATATATATCAATGTTTGTGTGTTTGTTTCACCCCTATAGACTCGGAAACTACTAAACCGATTTAGCTGAAATTTTCAGGATATGTTTGTTGTGATACCGGATTTTGAACTGTTGTGGTTTGAAATTCAACCTGTAACTGTTAGAGATAGGTGACCACAATTTATGCGATAATATACGCAGCTAATATTTATAACTTTAGTGATTTCTAATTATAGCCACGTTAGTAATTGCGCATGCGCCGCCATAGTCAGAACGCAAGGCTCCCGCCATTCGCCGACGAGGTTCGTGCAGCCAACGCCTTCTCTAATACATAGAGTAGGTCTAGGTACAGCAAACGAGACTATCACTATATTTGCCACAATAACCATATTAAACACGATTTCTATTTCATGTTTTTTTTTTTCAAACAACCTTCGACCTTGGGGGAAGAGGGGGGGGGGGGGGGGGGCAATCAAGGACTATCTCGACGTCGGCGCAGACAGTAACTGCGACATTAACTTCATTAACCGTGTTAGACACGTGCGATTTCTATTGTTGTGCCGTTTCATTATTATATCTGGAGTATCTGTCTACGAGAAAACAATTGCCTGCGGTTTTGAATTGTGTTTTAATGGCGACACAGTAGTAGGTACACGCATCTCTAATAGTTAAGTTCTCTTTTCGTTGATCTGATGAAGTGGCTGCTTGGTCGAATGGTTACAACACTGGGTTCCTGTACGGGAGACCTGGGTTCGAATCCGCAGCAGTTAAATTTTTTTTTTACCCCGGAATAAAATAATATCCTCATCTGCTCTGTCGTGGTGACAGCACTAGCCATGTTGCCTTAATATTAAAAAAAAAAAAAAAGTAAATGGGTAAACCATTTGATAATTACATTTGACTATTTCGCATACTTATGATTGCATTTTTAAACTTTCCGATTGCATGGTTACGCTGAAATTTCATAGATTTTCATTTATTTTCATTTAGATTTAGTTATTTCATCTGCGTTGGAATTTTAAGCTGTGCTGTTTACCATAGCGTTCATTTCCTAATTATGGTGTTTTTTTCCTGTGTTCATTTGCTTTTCAAGTGTTTTTTTTTTTCCTCCCAACTACTTCAATGAGGGAAAGAGTTGTCGGTGAATTTGGGGGAGGGGGGGGGGGGGGCAAACTATTAACTGAGAGAGCTTTAAGTCACAGTAACTGCTTTACCCACTTAAAGTAACAGCAGCAGTAATAGTTGTTGTGGGCTACACCATAGTGCTCTCATGTGAAGACCGCCCGGTAAGGTCATGGCGTTCTTCTGTCCGGGAAGCAAAATTATACATCCCTAAACCTGACCAGTCTGTGGCGACAGCACTAGCCATGCGGAACCAAATGGTCTGGCTCACGACTCTCTGTCTATCCGATGGTAACACAGATAGCAGTGAAATCAGTTTTAGTAGTTGTACTGGTAACTTGAAGGATGATGTGGTAAATATTACACTAGCCCATTCACTACCTGTTACAATTCCTGCTCCCTATTTTAGTCCAACAACAAAATATCGCCAGGTAGTGATTTTCAAATCCTTTGAAGAGGGAGAGAGCAGTAGTCGATGGAAGAGGGGAGGGGGTAATGACTTAAATTTAAGATAACTTAAAGAGCTTTACACGTGATTTTCAAGTTCTCATTACCTAATATGTTTATTTTTTTTTAAACTAACGCTACCTCCGCTTTTCTATTTTTACGACTTACTTTGTTTTCACAAGTACAGTTTTAGCTTTACTTCCGTCCCCTATATAAAAATACAACAGCTTTAGCATGTGATAACCTAATAACCATTTTTGTTACTGTGCCTAATAAACAATTTAACGACCACTAATATAAAGACACAATTATAAGTGTGCGTGTTCTAAAGTTGGAAAACCAGACTATCTCTAATCTGTGCAGAGAATGATTGCGACATTAACTATATAGACACGTGCGATTTATTGTCTTTCTTTTCCAAAAACCTCTGATGAGGGAGAGAGTAGTAGGGTATTGTGGTGAGGGGGGGGGGGCGGTGGACCGTGATCAAAGACTATTCTCTTATCCTGAGCAGACAACGATTGTATAGACACGTGCGATTTCTATTTTCTTTCATTTCCATTTAGCCAAACTATGCCACAGCAACGCGTGGCCGGGTACAGCTAGTATATATATATATAATATAGATATATATATATATATATATATATATATATATATATATATCGCTGTTATCTTCATTGAAATCACATATCTATGTGTGTCTGAGACAGCACATTTGTCTGTCTCCCAAATTGTTAAATTACCGGTGATAGTATTACAGGGAATGCCTCGAGTGCAGTTAGGGGCAATGACTCAAGATACGAAACCGATGGAGACAAAACTGAAGTAGAAGATGCGATATTAAATACAGGGTTTTAGTTAGACCCCTTTTTCCACTAGGCTTACATATAAGGCAGCGATGGAGACCAAGATGAGATAGAGGATGGGAAAGTAGGACTTTCTTTCTCTATCGCGGGTGAAGTCAGGCAATTAAATCTAGTATGCATATATAAAACAAACCTTTATTGATCATATATAAAGTAAAGAAGGTAAAGGGCAGATCCCAATGTCTTCAGGCATATAAGACTAGACCTACATTTTATAGACCAATAGCACTGGGTGGATGATATGGCCAAAATCACGCCAGCCGACTTTACTTCCCATGACTGCATCTGATACCCATTTAAGGCTGGGTCGACCTGGCAGCCGAGTTCATTTAAAAAAAAAACTCCTGTGTCGTTGGGACCAGATCCTCAGGCAAGAGCCTAGCCGTAAGTCCACGGCGGCTCTCAGTGATCACATATAGCATGTGTCTGACGATCGTACGTGGCATATCTCTAATGATAAATTATGTTTCTAGTTACAGGACTAGAGCCTTCTATATACCGGTGGGTGTTGTGATACCCCTGATTCTGATTTGGGTCTGCGCGAAGATATGCTGTTGTGTCTGGGAAAGACGGACGGTAGTAACGCAAAGGCTGGCTGCTCCAACAACTCCAATGCAGGTGTATGTTATAGACGCAGGTTCGTTTGCTGAATGAATGCGTTTTTAAATTAAGTGTCGCAATTTAGCTGGTAGGATTCCCACTTGGGTTTTTTTTTTAGTTAATATCCGACCCCAGATGACGTCACATGACAGTCACACATTTTAGAGGGTGGTAAGACTGGGTTTCCCGCCTTTCTGATGCTTTTAACGACCCCAAAACACCTAGAACTCGTCATAACCCGAACCCATCTACGTCTCACGAGAAATTTCAGCCTAGGTCCCACGACTGCATGTAGCTTAGGTCACACGACTGCATGCAGCTTATCTACCACCCCCTGAAATATTAGACTGTACCGTGACCTGTGAATTTCCCTTGTTTGAGGTAGGATATTAAAAAAGCACTCCCACTTGTGCTCTGTCTCCATTTCCTGCTAGCAAGCGAAGAGTTCCCATAATGATAGTGCCAGCTGCGATCTGATTACCAGTCTCTCTATCTTTTTTTTTTTTTTTTTTGAAAACCACCTAGATCATCTGCAGAATTGCCTCTGAATTGTCCTTCAACATACTGAAGCTGGCTGTTCTGGGGGAAAACCGTCAAATTGTTATTAATTATTACAATGAATTATAATACATAAAAGCGGCTGCATATAAGGTGTTTCCAAATGTTTTGTTTTTACAGTTTTAACTTTCTGTGTTCTGTGCGCTCACATGCCTGACGTAGCTGTCCAATTGATATTGTCAATTTCTGTTTGCGAAATTAACTCATGAATGTTTACTGCACAGGTAAAAAGGTAAAGTCGGGAGTTGCGAACTAGCGTCACTGCACACGGTGATAAACTCCGTAGCTACAGCGACGTTCCTCCATTTACCCCAGAGTGGTAACTCTGGTACCCATTACCTGGAGGCTGGGTTAACCCCAAGAACCACCCGGTTTCGAACACCGACCGTGGGCTGCAGCAAGTCGCAGCTGGATTTGAAAGCGAGTCTAATGTTTATTGTAAGCACCCTAAGGGCAAAGACATCAAATAAAATTGTCAGCTAGGATGCTTTACGACCATACAAGGCATATACTAAAAGATACGAGGGACGTCAGGCACAATGTAGACCGAGAACAAGAGGGAAAGATAAATCACATACTCACACAGACCTACACTGAAATGTGCAAGCTGATAGGATTGCCGGTAAAACTACCATGGCGGGTGCATGTGGCATGGACCAGATTGGTATACTGAATGCTCAACGAGAGGTAAGACGTTTGCGAGAACCAAGTGATGACTGTGAATCTGCAGCCATGACCAGACTGCAAGAACATGTAAAAAAAAGGTGTGGCCAGACAAAAGCACTAAGCAAAAAAAGCCAAAGAAGAATAATAAACCGAAACAGGACAGGTGTCGTCAGCCGGTACACTCTGTGGGATTTACTGAAGAGGGAATCTGAGCACATATGGACTGAATGATTTGATATGCAGTGAGGATAGTCTGGCGACTAACTAACTAACATAAACTCTACAACAGTACAACGTGTCTATCTGTCATGCAACCAGAAGAACAAAAAGCAAAACCTTTGATCCCTCTCATCATATGAAGAGGTTCGAGAAAGGCAGAAATAGATTATATTAGCGCTCTTAATTACTCTAGAAACAATTTCATTGCGGTGATCCATTTCCTGCTAGCTACATTACCTTATGTTATGAAATCACTTTCTGCACTCCACCACTTCACTAAGAGATGCGTCAACAACAAAATCGCATTACCTCATGTTCTTAAATCACTTTTGCACACCACCACTTCACAAAGATATGCGTCCACACGCAGTCACTACGCGGGCAATTAAGTACTAAGACACTATTCACCATCATCATATCCTGTCATCTCATAGCCACACAGGATCCTGACACCTATCTGTTTCTGTGCACTGTCCATTTGATCCCATAGAGCTTTCACCACATTCGCTTTGTTATAAAGTAGCTCACTGACCTGAAGTGCGGCAGCAGCGAATCTATCAGATTGCTTGTTACCTCTCATAGCTGAATGTCCTGGGCACATGTACATGAAAAGCTATAGCTAGACAAAACATACAAGCACTAAAGAAAGAGGGAATGTGGAAGAGGCGCCGGAACATAGAAACTGGACCACTTTAAGCCCCCCCCCCCCCCAATCCCACAACACAGCAAAAAAATTTTCAGGGAGCCCCTCAATATCCCCCCCACTCCCCCCCCCGGAGAAAATTTGCAGTAGGACTAATTATCCTTCTACCTCCCACACGGGTCCAGTATCCTAGCTGTTCCCTGTTGGTTTACCTTTTAAACTGGGATTTTACCAACTCTAGAGAGCAAACCTTCGGTTCATAGCCGGGAGAGAGAAAACAGTCAGAGAGTCCATCTTTTCTTGTTTATAGATATACAAATAATCAAGTACGGAGGGTCTAGGGAACTGGTAATCTCAAAGAGTTTGTAACAGAAATATAAAAATGGTTTGTAAACCAGAAAAACTGAGGGCAGACGTGAAAAACATGGGCACATGTGGGAGGTTAACAAACACTATACTATTGTTCAACACGGTGAGAATGTATAATCTGGACAAACGTGAGAGAGAGAGCGAGAGAGAGAGAGAGAGAGAGAGAGAGAGAGAGAGTCAAAGAGAGATAGAGAGAGAACTAACCGTCAGAGAGAGAGAGAAAGAGAGAGAGAGAATGAAACGACAAACTTTTATCTAAAGTGTTGAAAATTGCGGACACAGACCCGACTAACATTCTATCCGTATGACCTTTCATACGCTATTTCATATAGTGACTTGAGAATGTATTGCAGCCAATTGTCACTGTGGAGATGGCACCTGCAAGACATATTTACAGTGTTCAAATGTTTCTCATTATCATCATCATAATCATCTTGATCCATAAAGTTGTCCTCTACTGAACGTTGCTCTCGTCACGGCTCACCTGAAAGTTTCTCTTTCTCTTGCCAATCTCCATTCCTGTGTGCATCCACATCAATGCATCTTCAGAGTCTTTCATCCCCTTTCGCAGAAGTCAGTCTCTGCCTCGATTTCCGCAAAATGCAACCTCATGGCCGTTTTCTCTCCAGGCTAGTAAGAAGCTCATCGTGGACAAATTACTTCCCCTTTCGGGGCAGGATGCTGTTTATGAGCCAATTCTCCATTTTCATATCACGTACGATGTCAGTGGTTTTCTTCTTCATAGTCCTTGGTATTCTAAGAACTTTTCTGTAGCATTGTAGCCTTTCCGCTCTAAAGCTTTAGGTGAATCTTCGCAGACTAAGTGTCATATATCCATACGTCCTTTTTAGGATGGAATTTGTTGTTATTTGAAGCCCCACCCTAGCTTTTGCCAGGGGCCGCAATATAGGCACTCCATAAACATGGCCTATTGTCTGATCGCAGTTTCCGGGATCTCTTCACGGTGATCCTCATCCACATGGTGGCACTTTGTGTCATCGGGTGTTTATCGCTTGTGTGATGTCCTAGTGGAGTAGAAAATCAGTCAGTCAGACTAAGAGTGCACGACTCTCAACCATAAGTTGTCTCGGGAAAGATGCAGGGTTTCAGAATTGACACTTTAACTCGTCTGTCAGGTGGTGTGCCATAAGTTTTTTCTCATTACATTCAAATCATTTATTTTGTTTCAGATGGATGACCGCACTAGCGTCCCACGTAGTGATTCAGGCCCACAGCTGCCTGTATGGAGTTGTGCCTTAGGAACAATTGCGTGCCTGGGACACAAATGCCTAAAGCTGTGCTTCAAACGCAACTGCGTGGAGCTGTGTTTTAAACAGAACTGCCTGGAGCTGTGTTTTAAACAGAACTGCCTGGAGCTGCATTTTAAACAGCATTACCTGGAGCTGTGTTTCAAACACAACTGTTTGGAGCTGTACATTGAACACAACATGCTTTTATTTTCCTAATTGTTTCAAATGTAGAAGAAGATTCTAATACCTTGGGAAATTTGTACATCTCAAATGGAATGTAATCCTTTTATCTGTTTATATTTAGTAAAGAAAGTAATCTATGCTTGGTACACAAACAATCTAACCTAATTTAAATATAACAGGATCTTTAACTCTTTGAGTCCCAGAGGGTTTAGCATCACAGGCCTAAGGGTTAGTCAAGAGACGTAAAATCGGCGCATCGTGCGTTCATTGGGCTTCTAGGCAGTAACCTATGAACGTATGATGCGTTCCTTGGGACTCAAAGAGTTAAAGGAGCTATGATTTTTCAGTCCTTTCCATTAGGTGCAAATCTTAAATGAAGAGTACTGATACAAGTAATCGATTCTTGTACAACGTGCGTCTGCAATGTTTTCCATTGAGTGACAATAAAAATAGGACTATGGACAGTTGGTCACATTCTCCAAAAAAAAAAAAAAAAAGAACCGAAAATATCAAAACTGATAAACACCAGTTTAAGCAATCGAGGGATTTTACATTTTATCTGAAGACGGAAGAATTAATAAAGAAATTCAGGCAAATATGTAATAAAGTCAATATAGTTTTAAGCCTAATGGCTCACATTTTGAAATGCAAGCATGTGAATATGAACACTAAAAGAATACAGTTCAACACGATATTCTTACAAACGCTATGCTATCAATGTTAGACATGGACACTGTCTTCGGAAGACAGAAGGAAAATAGTCACGACAGAAATGAAATATTTACAGGTGTAACGAGGTAAGATCGACAGAAACGATGATATTAGGAGAGTCGGCACAGAACCAGTTGTGAACTTTATAGGTAGACAACAAATCAAAGGGGTTTGGCCATGTAACAAGATTTGCAGTAGACAGGGCCCCACAGAGGGCAATGTTATACAGATACAGTGGAAACAGAGCCAGAGGTCGACTACGTAGAAATGGACCGGACCGCAGAAATATCAGAGACACTGAAAAGTATTTTATGTGAAGCAAAGGAAGGTTCTGTTTTAGAGATCTCCTCCTGCCCTGACGCCACTAAGCATTCAATGAGTAAAGAAAAGAAAAAGAAAGAAGAAGACTTAGTTATTATTTCAATAAAGAAGATACAAGCAGCTGATTACTCGGTTTCTATCTAATAACCCCATGTAATTTTACATTCCTTCATTTCCTTTCGACTATCCTTATGCAGCTTTTCCTAGGCCATGTCGGGCCTCATTTATACATCTGCCGTCTATTAGATGCTGTCTATGCAAACGTTTCGTAAGTGATGAACACTTCATTTTTCTCCTCAGTTCTTCATCTGGGACATTGTTCGGCTAGGATATTCGTATGAATTTCTGTAGACATTAAATTCGAACAGTTTCCAGTGTATATGTAATTCCTACTGTCTTTAAATTTAGTGTGTGATCTAAGTTTTGTGTTCAAGCTAAAAATCTTAGTTTTGTCTTCAGACTAAGTTCCTTTGACCTTTGTGTATTGTTAAGCATGGCACAAGCCTTTTTTTTTTCTTTGTTTATTCTGGATTTTACCTCTTTTTCCTATTCCCCGTCTTGAGTAACTTGTGAACATGCAATCTTTAGCTTCTTCTATTTTTCATCGTGTCAGATCATGTGATTTTTTTTTTTTTTTCTGATGTATTTCTGATTACCTCACTGTTACTGAATGGGAGTCCTATATTAAGGGCCATTGTCGAAAGTGTTTCAATCATTTCCTGAGCATCCATTCATCTTCTTGATATTAAACTGAAGTCATCTCCATAGTCAGAATTCCCTCAAACTGGGGTCATTGACCATCTGACAACCTCTACTTTCATCTCATTGCGCTGCCTGGTATATTTCTCTGAAGCCCATCAGGCCATACTGTAGTAAGAGTTAAATCATATGGTAAAAAAGAGGGAGAGCGGGTGTGTGATGGAGAAATCCTTTTAACTGAAGTACCAACATTTTTTTTTTATAAAAGTCTTGTTTATTCACGTTTACTTCGAAAAAAAAACTTTTTTTTTTTTTAACCCATCAATAGTGATATTTAAAATTACTGCAATGCTTATGGCAGTATATTTAAATTAGTGAGCGGGAAGACGTTCGTTGACTCATTACTCTCCCCCTCCCCCCGCCCCCCTTTGCACCCCATCCCCCCGCCCCTTCGACTCTTTCTCTCATAAAGAAACGCGTGATCTCTGACCAGGTACTGTAGGTGTGTATCACGCAACACAACCATCATCACCATCATGTTCCCTGCCGATAAGCGGAGTCGCTAATCTCAGGATCTCAGACGATCACCAGAATAGCTGATCAGGTCACTGTCCTCGTCTGGCCTTTTTGTGCTTTGTGTTTGTATCTACGGCCTTCACGATTCTCTTCCTCGGTCAATTGTACAAGTCGTCGTCAAGCTCTTGAGTCAATTCTTTCTCATAATACTGTATTTACAAAACATGTGCTTTCTATCTACATCTGATTTGTTGAATCAGTTTATGACTGTCAGTTGTTTTATATGGCTCTGAAACTTGGAGCACAACTAAAAGAGATGAAGACTTAATTAAAATTATTCGAAAACAGAATCTTACGATGAATCTTTGGACCTATCAAAGCTGGGAATGAAGAGTGAGAACAGATTTATAATCTGTTTAAATCACCATTGATCACTGGCATCATGAGAACTAATCCACTGAAACGACTGGAGCATACGGGCAGAATGTCAGATGACAGACCGGTAAAAACTTTATACACAAGGGAGCTGAATGGTCGTAGACCACGAGGCAGACCAAGAAGACGATAAAGAGATAATGTTTAGACAGACCTGCAAACACTTGCTGTCACCAACTGGAAAGAGAAGGCCAACCAGTGAGATAAATTATGGCGGGTGATATCTGCAGCAATGAATCTCAAGGGCTCGGAATGTTGAAGTAGAAAAAGTTTATGGCTTTGGTCTCGTGTATTTCTTTTTTTCGATCTTTCCAACATATTATTTGCATTCTTACCAGAAGAAACATCTCCACTACCTGTGTGTGTTTTCTAACGTGTCTACTTCTTATCCTGAACAATGAAGCACCTGTAGTGTTTCGTGGATGCAGTAATAGTTGACAGTGAGCAACGCATGATGTGTTTTCATATCTTTAATAGTTGAACTGAACTGAACTGACTTTATACCCCACCAGGACATCGCACAAGCGATAAACACCCGATGACACAACGTGCCACCATGTTGGTGAGTATCACCGTGGAGAGGTCCCAGAAATCGCGTTCAGCCTTTAGGCCATATTTATGGCCAGGCTATATTGCGGCCCCTGGCAAGAGCCAGAGCAGGGCTTCAAATAACGAAAAATTTCATCCTGAAAGGGACGGAAAGTTACTT